CTCGTCGTCGTCGTCGTCGTCGTCGTCGTCGTCGTCGTCGTCGTCGCCGCCGCCGTCGTCGTCGTCGTCGTCGTCGTCGTCGTCGTCGTCGTCGTCGTCGTCGTCGTCGTCGTCGTCGTCGTCGTCGTCGTCGTCGTCGTCTTTCAGGGTCGGCGGCACCGGCCGTAAGGCCTTCGCAATAAAGGCTTGGACTGATCATGCGCATGCAAAATGTTAAGCATGCGGTCCCGGAAAATATACTCCTCGTAACCCGTGCCATTGAGTTGGCTTGCGGGGCGGTCTGTGTCCCAGAAATCAACAATACCATGTTTTTGCTCATCTTCCGCGGTTGGTATCGTCTTCTTATGTCCGTAGGACCCCAACCACTCCTTTTCTGTCCACATCCAATTGCCGTGGCTGAAATATGTGAGTGATGTGTCGTAGCCACGCCCTTTGGGTGTGTGATGTGGTGTGGCCATTCCGGCGTCCCATTTACCAACTTGGTGCGTTTCATAACCGGCTCGCTTGAGCACCGAAGCAAGACCCGTCATGTTTCGAGGGATGGCGCCGTTTTCATCGCAAGGTCCAGCTAGCTCGGTGAGGACATGGACAGGAAGGCGCCCACTCTGCAGCGAAGCACGCGATGGAGTGCACATCATGTGCACATAATGCCGGTTCAGCTCGACTCCCTCTTTCACTAAGCCATCAATGTGTGGGGTTTGAACTTCTTTTGTGGGTGTGTCACGATGGTACCCTACTTCAGCCCATCCGAAGTCATCGACCACGACTAGAAAGATATGAGGCAGGTTGGATATCCCATCATCCGATGTGGTGGCTGCTGCTGCTCTCAAAGCAAGCACAGCGACACAGAGAATGCAGAACTGTGGTGCCATCATCGATCAATGCGCCAAGAACTGCAATCTCCACTTACGAGGCACTTGAGCCAAAATGGCTACAGAAGCCCTCTGGGGCGATTCTGTGCACCTCTTGGGCCGTCTTGGCGCCCTCTTCGGGTGTCTCGGGACCTCCTTGGGCGCCTCTCGTGCCGTCTCCGGCGTCGGGCAGCGGAGCAGGCGAGCACACGAAAACTCTTTGAAAACCTAAGGAAATTCATGATTTTAGAGAAAAAAAAACAACCATCAAGAACGCAAAGAAAGAAGAAAGAATGAAAGAAAAAGAAGCAAGAAGACGGAGTAAATACATAATATGTAATAATACAATAATAATAAAAAAAGAAGAAGAATAATAAAATAAAGCCTACGTAATATAGAATCCTTCCTGGTTCATCTCCCTCCCGCATCTCCTCCTCCTCCGCCTCCTCCTCCTCCTCCTCCTCCTCCTCCTCCTTGGAAAACCTCAGGGAAAACCTCAGAGCCTGTCTCGGGGATGAGCTCGAAGCGCTCCTGCTGCGCCTCGGAGAGGCTGCCTGCGCCCGCATCGGAGCCATGATGGGCGTGCTGGGGCCGCTTCGGGACCCCGTGGGCCTCGTCTGGGTCCACCGGGGATCAGTTGGAAGCTTTCTTGGGGCGTCGTGGAGGCCACGTCGGCGGTTTCGAAGCAGTGGTCGGCGTGCTGGGAGCGCTGTGGTGCTTTCTGGCCCTCTGGACGGCCCCTTTTGGTGCCCTCCGGACCCTCTGGAGGGCCCTTTTTGGAGCGCGGAGGCCCGCCAGGCCCTCCGTGCAAACCAGACCGATTTTGCCCCCCCCCCGGGGCTCTCTTAGGCCGTCTTGGGGCCCTCTGGGGCCGTCTTGGGGCTCCCTCTGGCGCCTCTTGGGCAGTCTGGGACTCCGCCAAGGTCGGAAAAAGCGAATCTGACAAACATGAGCGTTTTCCGGAGGGAATGGGGCGACTTGGGCCTCCTGGGGTCCTCTTGAGAGATCCCTTGGGTCTTCTCGAGGCCATCTTGGGGCGTCTCGGAGCGCTCTTGGGCCTCTGTTCACTGTCGGGGCGTCCTGGAGGCCTCTTGGGCGGCCTGGGAGCCATCAACTATCCTGGGCGCTCCTGGAGCGCTCTCGGGCGGTCTGGGAGCCTCGGGGGCCTCCAGGAAAACCACCCGGAGGGGGGGGGCTGGGCCGGGGCCCTGGGGCCAGGATCTCCCACACACATATATATATATATATATATATATATATATATGTATATATATATATAGATGTATATATGTATATATATGTATATATGTATATATGTATGTATGTATATATATATGTATATATGTATATATGTATACATGTATATATGTATATATGTATATATGTATATATGCATATATATATATACTAGAACCACGCGCGCGCTTCGCGCGCGCTTAGGTTCTAGCTAGGATCGTCACCGTCGTCATCATGAACATCACCATCGCCATCACTCCCCCCGCCAGGGCTAATGTACATCGTTTCTGGATGCTTCTGGCCGGAATACGAAAGGAGTTTCTGTAGTTAGAGTCTCTGGGGGAGGTCGCGGGGAAGCTTTTGTTGTATTTGGTGTTGCGTCGCCAGGAGGTCTGGGCTCCCTCCTCCTCGTGTTCCTACCTCCTCTCTGGACGTCCGATGTCGTGATGCTTTCTGTGCGCGGCCCCTGGACCTCTCGACGACTTCCTGGGGATGTGTTTTTTTTTCATCCTGAGTCGTTTCCTGACGGTCCCGGGACCCTGCGAGGGGCCCCGGAGGCCGAACATTGACCGAAACCGCCGTCGTGATTTTTCCAAGACGTCGGAGGTCCAGGTCGTGCTTCCCGCCTCCCCAGACCTCCGACGTCGTAATTCTTGCGACCTCGGGCCCAGGAATCGATTGGGAAAACGCACATGGGAAGGCAAGAAATGATGGAACCATCATTTGGTACCTGTGCCTTGATCAGTGGGACGGGCTTCGCACCGCCGCACATCACAAGACACGCTCGAGCGAATCCAGCCGTGGCGACGTCGGGGACTGCAGAAGGTCGCAAGGACACGGAATATGAAAGGAAGAAAGAGAAAGAGAGAGAAAGAGAGGGAGAGAGAGAGAGAGACAGACAGACAGAGAGCGAAGGAGAGAGAGAGAGAGAGAGAGAAAAAAAAAAACAAAAACAAAAAAAAAGATGGAGAGAGAGAGAGAGAGAAGAAGAAGACAGAGAGAGAGAGAGATAGAGAGGCAGAGAGAGGAAATGGAGAGGAGGCGAGCTTGAGTCAACGAAAGTCGCAGGGAAGGGGGCAGGGGAAAGAAGGCCAGAGAGCGCTGAAGGATACAAATACTGGAACCCTCTTGGGATTTTTTGGGGGGCCTCGTCTGGCCGCTCGCTGGGAGTTTGACGTAGCTTCTTGGGAGCCTCTGAACCTGTCGGGGGCCTCCTGGAAGCAGGTTCGAAGCATTTGGGGGGCCGATTTGGGGCTTCTCGGGGCCTCCTTTGGGCCTCTTGGGGGTCTCCTGGGCCTCTTGAGGGGCCTCCTTGGGGCCTCCTGGCGGCCTCTTGGGGCGGAAGGCTCGAGCTTGCGGTTCGTGGTCCCCCTCTGGGCCCCCTCTTGGGCCCGTCTTGGGGCCCTCTTGGGCCATCTTGGCGCCTCTTGGGCCGTCTTGGGGCCCTCTTGGGCTGTCCTGGGGCCCTCTGGGAAGCTTCTTGGGCCGTCTTGGGGCGGTCTTGGGCGCCTCTTTGGCCGTCCTGTAACGTCGGAAAGCCCAAAAGACAACTTTGTTGAAAATGTACGTTTTACGAAGGGAATGGGCAATTTTTTGCGTCTAGGGGCCCTCTTGGGACGCATGTTGGAGGCTTCTTGGGGCCTCTTGGGGGCGTCCTTGGACGTCTGGAGGCCATCTTCAGCATCTCGGAGCCCTCTTGGAGGCCTCTTGGAAGTTTCTTGGGCCGTCTTGGGCGTTTCTGAGGCCCTCTTGTCTGACCGGGGAGGCCTCCGGCAAGCCCCGACGAGCCTCCGGGCCCCCCGGAGCCCACATTTGCGGTCGAGGTCCCGGCCCCGGGCCCCCGGACCCGGTCCCCCGTTATGTATATATATATATATATACACAGGCACCCTCCGACGAGCTTTGCATGCACCCGCCCCTGAGGCCCAAGAAGAATCCATTGGAGGGTGTCCGTGTCTATTTTTTGTGGCGGACCCCCAGCCTCCCCGCGAGCCCAGGAAGCCGCGCAGCAGGAGCCACTCTGGCGAAGGGCCACTTCTCAGGGCCCCCAAAAAAACATGAGACGCGGTTAAGCCAGCACGCCGGCGCGCCCGAGACAGCTGCAGCCGTGGATCGAAGCATGCCTCATTCTCCGTCCCCTCCAGGTTTGGCTGTGTCCTGACTTGGGCTAGCCAGCTTCTTCGTCGTTCCTCGTCGGCCTCCAGGTTTGGCAAGGTTAGTCAAGTTTTCGCCAACAACGTCCTGGTTGAGGAGGCCCTGGGCTCCTGCGCGCGCTGGGAGGACAGACACAGAAAGAGACGCCCCGCTGTCGCCGCTCGCACGGCTGGATCCGGCAGCCTGGCGCTCCTGGCCACCGAAACGCCGAGCGCTGGGGAGGCATCTGGCCACATGGCCCGCTGCGGAAACCCTGAACCACCTGGACGAGTGTGCCTCTCGTGGGGGAGGGAGGGCGAGGTTTATGCTTCCCCCGAGCTTCCGCCAGCGGAGCCGCCCCCGATTTGCTTCCGCCGGCGTCCGCCCGCCTTCCGCCCGCCTTCCGCCGGCCGAGGGAGAGATGCCGACCCCTTCAGCCCTCGCAGGCGAGGGCCCTTCTGGGACGTGCCGTGTGCGTATTCAGCTCTTGCACCTGGCCAGGCGCGTCGTGTGTGTTGAGTGTTGAGTGTTGTGCGTTGTGTGTTGTGCGTTGTGCGTTGTGCGTTGTGCGTTGAGCGTTGTGCGTTGTGTGTTGTGTGTGTGTTGTGTGTTGTGTGTTGTGTGTTGTCTGCTTTGTGCTGTGTGCTGTGTGCTGTGTGTGTGCTGTGTGTGCTGTGTGTGTGCTGTGTGTGTGCTGTGTGTGTGCTGTGTGTGCGCCCAGCTCCCCAGCGGCCGAGGGCGGGCCGGCGGGCGGCTCCGGGGGCCCGCCCCGGCGCCGGCCTCGGTGCAGTAGATCGTGCCCGCGTCGAAGCCGCGGGTGAGCCCCACCTCGGCTCGCCGGGCGCCTCCGAGGCACGGGCGCCGGAGCGCCGTGGGCTCCGCGGAGGAGGCCGCGGCCCGCCGAGGACGCCCCGAGGCGGCGGCCGCCGCGGCCGCGAGTGAAAGGGGCCCTGGGACACGCAAGTAGATACACACAAATCGCTGGATTCCCCATATTTTCCCCTATTTGGGTTTTTTTTATCTTCCCCCCACTTCCCATATTTTTCCATATTTTTCCATATCTTCCATATTTTCCCCATATTTTCCCCATATTTTTCCATATTTTCCTCCTGCGCGGCCTGGAGCGGCGGGCTCCTGCAGAGAGGTCCCCTCCCGAAGAGGCGCAGGCGGATTCACGGACCGGCCTCGCCGGCAGTGGCGCAGAGCGGGCCGTCGCGGTTGCCGTGAGCAGCGGCGGCCAGATGAGGATCAAAGGGGGCTCCTCTGGCCACGGCGAGCCTCGGCCAAGTAGATGACTACCTACCAGACCACCCCAACCCAACCCGAAGACCCGAATTTCGGGTTGGGGGGGGTAAGGGTTCCACGCGTGTTTTCTCGATGTTCCCCGACCCCCCCCCACTGGAAATGGAGGTCAATTTGAGGCCTTCGGGTTGGGTTGGGGTGGTTTGGTGGGTGGTGAGCCACGGCGAGCCTCGGCCAAGTAGAGGCTCCCCCGGTCCAAGTCTAAGGAGCGGCCCCAAAACGAGAGCCCCTCCCGAGCCAGAACTGGTCCGTTCTGCAGCGTCTTGTCGGGGATCTGCTGTCCCGGGTCAATCCAAACCCGGGTCCGTCAGGCCTTTCAGGACCCTGCAGGATCCTGCAAGATCCTGCACGATCCTGCGCCCAAGCCTGGGTCAATGCACCCCCTGGCTCTGCAGCATCCTGCAAGATCCGGCGCCCTGGCTGACCCCCGTTTGCATTGACCCCCGTCTCTTGAGGAGGAGGAGGAGGAGGAGGAGGAGGAGGAGGAGGAGGAGAAGAGGACGAGGAGGAGGAGGAGATGCCTCCGATCTTGACTGCATCGCACCACGCCGCTGCGGGCCGCTTCGTTCGCCTGCCCGTGGCCTCTCCCTGGGTCGCCCGCCTCGGCGCGTCGCGCGGTCCTCCTCCCCGCCCAGCGCCGCCCCCCCCTCTTCGTGGAGACTAGCAGCCCGCAAGCCCGGACCGCGGCGCGCGAAGCCCCCTCGGCGGGGCGGCGGGGCGGACGTGGAGGGCGGAGGAGGATGCCAGGAGGAGGTGAGAGGATGCCAGGAGGAGCCCAAACAGATCGGTGTTGGCCTCGCGCGCGCCCGCTTGGGGGGCACGAGGCCCAGGCATGCACGGCTGAAAAGCAGCCACCGACGACTCCGGCAAAGCTGAGCGACGCCAGCGAGTACGACGACGACGACGACGACGACGACGACGACGACGACGACGACGACGACGACGGCGACGACAACACGGCGAGGACAAACGAACGCAGCGACGCGACCGAGGACGGCGGCGACAAAGGCGGCAGCCGCATATCACGGACGCAGATGGGCAACTACTGCGGCCGGGCGGCCGCGCCAGGCGCTCAGCCTGAGGATGTAGGAGGAGGAGGAGGAGGAGGAGGAGGAGGAGGAGGAGGAGGAGGAGGTGCGGGGGGAGCGAGGGGAGGGCGAGGAACATGCTGCATCTTGCTTTGTCCTCCGTTCTCTGTCTCATCATCGCTGCGACTCGCATCATAGCATATCACGCCTGCCGCTGCGGACGCTGCGTCGACGGCACGCAGGCGCGCCCGCCTCGACTCGCCGACGACTGGCGACCGCGCTGACACTTGAGAGGCATTTGACCCCCACGGCGCGTCCCACAACGAGAAAGATGAGGATGAATGCCAGTCCGCGCCAGTCCCTCCCGTCGCGATCTCGCTCGGCAGCCCAACCCACCCACCGCCTCGCGGCCGAGCAAGTGGCGTCAAGAGATGGACCATCGGGATCGTCGTGCGACAACAAACCGGAGCAGGGTACTGCCCGTTGGGCGCTGTGCCCAGGCCACCCACCTTCGCGCATCGCGCGCCGCGCGATGCGCGGCGCGTGGCTGTCGTCGTGCCCTCACGCCCTCGCGCCGCCTCCCTGCAGAGGGGCGGCCCTCCAAGCCAAGGCGCATTGTGCGAAGCGCGTTCTCTTGGCGCCCCCAGAAGTGGCCCAGCTGTGCAGATCTTTCTCCCCCTCCTCCTCCTCCTCCTCCTCCTCCTCCTCCTCCTCCTCCTATGCCTCCTCCTCCCTCCTCCTCCTCCTCCCTTGCTCGCTATCCTTCCCTCCTCCTCCTCCCCCCCTCCTCCTCTCCTCCTCCTACCTCCTCCTCCTCCTCCTCCTCCCCTCCTCCTCCTCCTCCTCCTCCCCATCCTGCTCCCCCTCCCCATCCCCATCCCCCTCACCCCCCACCTCCCCCTACCTCCCCATCTCCTCACCTGCTCCTCCTCCTCCTCCTCGCTCCTCCTTCCTCCTCCTCCTCTCCCCTCCTCCTCCTCCTCCTACTCCTCTCCTCCTCCTCCTCCTCCTCCTCCTCCTCCTCCTCCTCCTCCTCCTCCTCCTGCCTCCTCCAACCTCCTCCTCCTCCTCCTCCTTCCTCCCCTTCTCCTGCCGTTCCCGAAACCCACCTCCTCCCCTCCTCCCTCCTCCTCCTCCCCTCCTCCTCCTCCTCCTCCTCCTCCCCTCCTCCTCCTCCTCCTCCGCCCCACCACCTCTCCTCCTCCCTCCTTCCTCCTTCCTCCTCCTTCCTCCGCCTCCCTCCTCCTCTGGCTCCTCCTCCTCCTCCTACTCCTCTCCTCCCCCTCCTCCTCCTCTCCTCCTCCTCCACCTCCTCCCCTACTTACCTCCTCCCCTCCTTCCTCCCTGCCTACCCACCTCCGTCCCCTCCTCCTCCTCCTCCCCTCCTCCTCCTCCTCCGCCTCCTCCTCCCTCCTCCTCCTCCCCCCTCCTCCCCTCCTCATCCTCCTCCTCCTCCTCCTCCTCCTCCTTACCCCTCCGTCCTCCTCCTCCTCCTCCTCCTCCTCCTCCTCCTCCTCCTCCTCCTCCTCCTCCTCCTCCTGCTCCTCCTCTGTCGCGGTCTGCGCCACGCAACTCGCTTCGCGCCCCGCGCCGTTGGAAGCGGCGCCCCCCCGGGTGAAGAGGCAGCCCCCCTCCCAGCCCTGACCCGCGAAGTGCAGTTCCCCCCTCGCAGCCCTGACCAGCGCGCTCGTGTGACGACGACAACGGCGACACAGATGCGGTGGTAGTCGTCGTCGTAGTCGTGGTGGTGGTCGTCGTCGTCGTCATCGTCATCGTCGACGTCGTGGTCGTGGTCGTGGTCGTGGTCGTAGTCGTGGTCGTGGTCGTCGTCGTGGTCGTCGTCGTGGTCGTGGTCGTGGTCATGGTCGTCGTCGAGTTCGTCGTCGTCGTCATCGTGGTCATGGTCGTCGTCGTGGTCGTCGTGGTCGTGGCCGTGGTCGTGGTCGTCGTCGTCGTCGTCGTCGTGGTCGTGGTCGTAGTCGTGGTCGTGGTCGTCGTCGTCGTCGTCGTCGTCGTCGTCTTGGTCGTGGTCGTGGTCGTGGTCGTGGTCGTGGTCGTGGTCGTGGTCGTGGTCGTGGTCGTCGTCGTGGTCGTGGTCGTGGTCGTGGTCGTGGTCGTGGTCGTGGTCGTGGTCGTGGTTGTCGTCGTCGTAGTCGTCGTGGTCGCAGACATGTTCGTGGTCGTCGTCGTGGTCGTGGTCGTGGTCGTGGTCGTCGTCGTCGTCGTGGTCGTGGTCGTGGTCGTGGTCGTGGTCGTCGTCGTCGACGTCGTGGTCGTCGTCGTCGTGGTCGTGGTCGTGGTCGTGGTCGTGATCGTGATCTTGGTCGTGGTCGTGGTCGTCGTCGTCGACGACGTGGTCGTCGTCGTCGTGGTCGTGGTCGTCGTCGGGGTCGTGGTCGTGATCGTTGTCGTGGTCGTCGTCGTGGTCGGCGTCGTGGTCTTCGTGGTCGTTGTCGTGGTCGTTGTCGTGGTCGCGGTCGTCGTCGTCACCGTCGTCGTCCCCGTCGTGGTCGTGGTCGTGGTCGTGGTCGTGGTCGTCGTCGTCGTGGTGGTCGCGGTCGTGGTCGTGACCGTGGCATGGTCGTCATCGTCGTCGTGGTCGTGGTCGTGGTCGTTGTCGTCGTCGTGGTCGTGGTCGTGGTCGTCGTGGTCGCGGTCGTGGTCGTGGTCTTCGTCTTCGTCGTCGTCTTCGTCGTCGTCGTCATCGTGGTCGTGGGCGTGGTCGTGGTCGTGGTCGTGGTCGTCGTGGTCGTGGTCGTTGTGTCGTCGTCGTAGTCGTCGTCGTCGTGGTGGTCGTCGTGGTCGTGGTCGTGGTCGTGGTCGTGGTCGTCGTGGTTGTGGTCGTGGTCGTGGTCGTGGTCGTGGTCGTCGTCGTGGTCGAGGTCGTGGTTGTTGTCGTGGTTTTCGTCGTGGTCGGGGTCGCGGTCGTGGTTGTCGTCGTGGTCGTGGTCGTGGTCGTGGTCGTGGTCGTCGTCGTCGTGGTCGTAGTCGTGGTCGTGGTCGTCGTCGTAGCCGTCGTTGTCGTCGTGGTCGTCGTCGTCGTGGTCGTGGTCGTGGTCATGGTCGTCGGCGTCGTCGTGGTCATCGTCGTCGTCGTCGTGGTCGTGGTCGTGGTGGTCTTCGTCGTGGTCGTGGTGGTGGTCGTGGTCGTGGTCGTGGTCGTGGTCGTCGTCGTCGTCGTGGTCGTGGTCGTGGTCGTGGTCGTGGTCGTGGTCGCGGTCGCGGTCGTGGCCGTGGTCGTGGTCGTGGTCGTGGTCGTCGTCGTTAAAGTCGTGGTCGTGCTCGTGGTCGTCGTCGTCGTGATCGTGGTCGTGGTCGTGGTCGTGGTCGTGATCTTGGTCGTGGTCGTGGTCGCGGTCGTGGTCGTGGTCGTGGTCGCGGTCGTGGTCGTCGTGGTCGTCGTGGTCGTCGTGGTCGTCGTGGTCGTCGTGGTCGTGGTCGTGGTCGTGGTCGTGGTCGTCGTGGTCGTGGTCGTGGTCGTCGTCGTCGTGGTCGTCGACGTCGTGGTCGTGGTCGTGGTCGTGGTCGGGGTCGTGGTCGTGGTCGTGGTCGTGGTCGTGGTCGTGGTCGGGGTCGTGGTCGTCGTGGTCGTGGTCGTGGTCGTGGTCGTGGTCGTGGTCGTGGTCGTGGTCGTCGTCGTCGTCGTCGTCGTCGTCGTCGTCGTCGTCGTCGTCGTCGTCATTGTAGTCGTCGTCGTCGTCGTCGGCGTCGTCGACCAACCTCGCGCCTTGCGCCCCGCGATGCGCGACCATTTTCGCGCTCGCGCGCCCTCGCGCCGCCCCTTCCATGCAGGCAGCCGCCCTGGCCCAGGCTGCGCCGCGCGAAGCGGGATCCTCCTCGCGCCGCCGCGGCTGGCCTGGAGGATCCCACCTTTTCCGCGGATCGGTCGACGGGAACGGCCGCAAGATACTCGGCCCAGGGGTCGGGCACCTTCTGGTGGCAGACCGACCCAGCGCCCGATGCAAAGTAGCCCGATGCAGCGCTGAGGCGCGAGCGGTATGGTCGCTGTGGAAATGCGTGAGGACCTTGGCTGCACGACCCTCCTCTCCTCTCTGCGGCTGCCTGCTTGGAGGCCCAGGGGGGCGGGGGCTGCCAGGGGAAATTGTTGGCAAGTTGGGGAGGGCTTGCAGAAAGCACTGGGGAAGGCGCGTACGGGCCAAGCTTGCGAAATTCTTATTAGCTCCGCTGTTCCTTCCACCTCCTCGTCCCCCTCGTCAGGCTTCCTCCCCTCCTTGCACCCTACCTCGTTAGGCTCGCCTTATAGATTCTTACTGCCTACTGGTGTCCCTCCCGTGCCCTTCCCGCTTCCCGTGATCCTCGCATGCCTCAACCGTGCGTGCCCCTTCGCTTCTGGGGCACACCGCGTGGGCAGCCTTGTTCCTAGAAGCTCACTCCGAAGGCGCCCGCTCGCGGACGGCAACCATCGCGTGGCCAGCGGCGCTTCATTGGGTGATCCTCCTCCTCCTCCTCTTCCTCCTCCTCCTCCGCCTTTCCTCCTCCTCCTCCTCCTCCTCCTCCCCCTCCTCCTCCCTCCTCCTCCTCCTCCTCCTCCTCCTCTTCTTGTTATTATTATTAATATTCTTCCTCCTCCTCCTCCCCTCCTCCTCCTCCCATTCTCCAAGTCCATGCTTTCTCCTAAACCGTCGCACCACCAGACGTGTCCGTAGGTCAGGCTGGACGTCTCGAATGAGATTTCCCCTCCGACTATGACCCTGAAGCTTAAACATTAACAACAGCTTCACAGATGGAGGTCGGGTCGTTTTCAAAATGAGGCTCTCGCCTTCGCGCCTCGCACATTCGACTTAGATACTTGCGGCAACTTCAAGGATGGAGGCCGGTTCCTTTTCGAAATTGGGGTTTCGCCTCAGCGCCGCGACAACTCGTCCTGAAAATTTGCAACTCCTTCAAAGATGGAGGCCGGTTCCTTTTGAAAATGTGGTTTTCGCCTTCGCACCGCGCACACCCATACGACCCAATCCTCACCATCGTATGCGAAAAACGACCATTCGGTGCACATGAATCTGGCCCAAGTTTCGCCATCCTATGCAACAAAATGGAATCATACCACACCCATTCGGCCCACCCACCCCATCGTATGTAAATAGTTACTGTTCGGTGCACATCCATACGACCCAACCCTTACCATTCTAGTGCAAACACGGTTAGCCAACGTGGACCCAAACAGTGCGTTTCTATCAATATGGATTGCGCAACCGACGCGGGACATTTCATGTGATGCCGTACATGCTGTGCAGCCTGTGTTGCGCAATCGATGTCGTGCCGCCTACACTGCGCAGTAACACTGGTGCGATCTACGAGGTACAATAAATGTAGTGCGATCCAGGAGGTGCGATATTCAGTGTGCAGTATCAGTGGAACTATTTCCGTGATGCAAGACGTGGTGTGCAATCCAAGTTGCGCGCTCTGTATGGTGCGATCCACGTGGTGTAATCTATGTAAAGCAAGCCATCTGGTGCAACACATGCTGTGCAATATACGTTGCGCAACACATGTCCTGCGACCTATGTTGTGCAATCTCTGTTTTGAAATTGATCTTTACAGACAAGTTGACAAGTTCCATGCTCTCGCAAAAACTCCACCCACCCATCCGCAACCTGGCTTGCAAAACCCAAGCGGCGGCGATTGCGATAAATGCTTGGCATTGGCTGGTGCACCTCTGCGACCGCGCCAACCCGCGCACGTTCGCGCGCACAGCGGCCAGATAGTTTGGAACGACCACCGAAATCGCGGTGGCGCTGACCGCTGGGCACTGTCCAGCGGGCACTTCAGTACGAGTCGGTGGCTTGGGAGATGCGGACAACGGTATCATGGCGACGCCGAAAACGCTACACACGATTATGCGAGTAGCGATGATGGTGGCGATGATGGCGATGACGACGGCACGGCCAATGACGGTGCCGATGTTGAACACGCCCGCCGATAATGATGACGATGTCCTCGCGTCGGCGATGCAGGTTTCGGAAGAATTCGACATGCGCGCGCGGCCAACGCGCGCGAGAGGCCCGCGTGGTCTGATTTGACACGGATCGTGCCCACCCACCCACCCAGCACGCGCACAAGGGCGTTCGAATGAGTTCGGCATGCGAGCGCGAAATGCCCGTTCGGTAGAAGCTTATGAACCTGTTGAAAAATCATGGTTGACTCAAGTGTTCGCAAAAGCGCGGGCGCAAGCTTCTTTTGAATGAAAACCTGTGTTGCGAAACCATGTGTTTTTAATGTTTCCGGGACAGTCGATGCTGATATTCTCAATAACATTTCGGCATGCGTGCGTGGCGACGGGCGCGGGTGCACTTCGACCCATCTGTTGCAAAGGATTGTTGAAGGCTGATGAATTTTGATAAACGAGTGCGCGCGCATCGTTTTTGGCAGAAGACGATGAGAGGGGGCGAAGTCCGGCCTGGCTGGGATGATACGAGTTCACATTCAGGATGGACGACGGGGCAGAATCATACATCGATTACAATACGACAAAGCGTGTACCCTTAACCCCAGGGGGTAGTTGCTCATGATAGTATTAAAAGAGAGAGAGAGAGAGAGAGGGAGAGAGAGAGAGAGACAGAGAGACTATGTAGCGCAATCCATGTTTCGCAACCTACGTGAAACAACATGTAGATGGTGCAATCCAACATGCGCAGTATATGAAACAAATACCAACATATGGAATGCAACATGTGTGGAGCAACCTACGTGGCGCAATATACGGTGTGCAATCTATGTTGTGCAATATACGTGGCTTAATAGTTGTGATGCAATCTGTGTTGTGCAATTCACCATGTCGAACTTGAAATTGCCAACTCCACTGCTCCCGCAGTTCATGCCACTGACACGCGTGCAACTTGGCTTGCGTTACCCATGTGGCGGCGATTGTGATGCCTATTTGGCGCTGGCTGGCACATCGCTGTGGCCGCGCTAGCGCGCGCAGGCTCGAGCGCAGAGCGGCCAACTAGTCTGGCGCGACCGACGCGGCCGCGGTAGCGATAACCGCTGGGTAGTTCGCAACGCGTCTCGCAGGCCGCGCTGACGCGCGGGAAGTTCGGTGCGAGTCGGTTGCTCGGGCGGGCGCGGTATCATGGCGGCATCGGCAACAGCAGACACGAAGGTAATAGTAGCGATGCTGGCTACATGATGATAACAGCGATGACGCTAAAGCCAATGACGGCGTTGATCCTGACCACGCCGATGATAATGATGGTGCCTTCGTGTCGGCGACGGAACTGGAAAGATTTCGACATGCGCGCGCGGGCGACGGGCGCGGGTGGTCCACATGGTGTTATTTGACAAAGGCCATGCCCCCCCAGCACGCGCGCAAGAGCGTTCGAATTATTTCGACGTGCGCGCGCGAGAAGTCGGTTAGGTCCGATGTGATGAAAGTGTTGCAAAATAACCAGGGGGTTCCTACAAATTCGCAAAAACGCGCATTTGAACACGTTGCGAAACCAGCGGTTGCTTTCCATGTTTCGGGACATTCGGTATTTAATTCCCGACAAAGCATCTCGCCGTTATATGTATATATGTCAAAAATAACAACCAACATAAAAATAACAAACATAAAAAACGAATGCGCGCTCGACGACGCACGCGTGTGCACTTCGTGTCATGTGTTTGTACTCTTGCAAATTCATGATTTGTGACACACGACTGCGCGCGAACATTATTATTTGACGAGGATGAGGGGGGTGTCAATACGGGCCTGGCTGGGATGATATGGACTCATACTTAGAATCAACGACGGCGGGTAATCATACGTACACATCCCCGGAAGGAAGCGGATGAGTTCGGCCTCTGGTGGATCCGAATTCCCTGTTACAGCGGAGAATCAATATAATGCAGTCTACGTTGTGCGATCTATGAGGTGCACAACAATCTACGTGTTGCAATCTACGTACTGCAATCTATCGTTTGCATTCTATGTCTTGTGATATATGGTGCGCGATCTAGGTGGGGCGGTGGCGGGGCGACGGCGGCAACAAGCGCGGCGACCGACTGACAGGCCCAGACGACGGGCGGCGACGAGGCAACGACGGGGCGGCGTCGACGGCAACAGGCGCGGCGACCGAAGGACAGGCCCTGACGATGGGCGGCGACGAGGCGGCGACGGGGCGGCGACGGCGGCGACCGACAAACAGGCCCAGACGACAGGCGATGACGACGAGCCGGCGGCGGCGGCAACATAGCCGCCAGACTGACAGACAGGACCAGTTCCTTAGTAACAAATTTAAGCCTCTAAGTACAAGCACAATTTGGGGAAATGTTCGGTAACATCCATCCGGCCCAAAACCACACCATCTTATGCGGAAAATACTATTCGGTGTACATCTTATGTAAAATAAACCATTCGGTGCACATCCGCCCGACCCAGCCATCACAGCCATCACCATCCTGTCCAAACACACAACGCGGTGAACATCCACCCGACTCAACCCTCACCATCCTGTGTAACAAAGAGCATCGGGTGAGCATCTGCCGATCTTCAACATCGACCCACCGCCTGGCAAGAGCAAGAAAGCAGGTGCCAGTGGAAAAAAGGGGGGGGGCCATTGGAAAAGGGGGGGAGGGGGTCCTAAAGACCAATTAGCTACTTCTGATGAGCGAGGACTCCCTCAGGGCAAGCCTGCCTGGATAATACAATCTATGCGTTTCGGGCGCCCCTTGCCGACTCCGATCTTGGGACCGACGCGCTCCCAGACGCTCCCGGAGGCTCCAAGACGCTCCCAGGCGCTCCCGGGGGCTCCAAGACGCTCCCGGGCGCTCCCAGACACGCCAAGACGCTCCCAGGCGCTCCCAGACACGCCAAGACGCTCCCAGGCGCTCCCAGACACGCCAAGACGCTCCCAGGCGCTCCCAGGGGCCACAAACTACTTTTCAAGCGCTCCTCCAGGCTTGGTTGCATGATCATCGACCTGGGATGGAAAAAACACAAGTGGCCATGTTGGAAAATCCTTAACAATTCTTCGTCGGCAAATTATTAATTTTGGGCGGCGCGCCCATCGCCGGGCGGGGGCGGGGCGGAACAGATAGGG